ACTGTAAAACGCTTCCTTTTGTTTAAAGAATGATGAGTACCTTAAGGACGTCATGAACCCTAAAAGGGTTTAAGGCTCATATACCATCTAGGGATTCATAGTATATGGGTATAGGGCCCCTTCTTTTAAGGGTCATCTAGGTCCTTCAGGTACTAAGCTTGCTCGGGTTTAATATTGAACCCGAACAACCACATAGAAGCCATGAAGTCCTAAACCGTAAACCCTAAACCCTAAACCGCACAAAACCCTGTAATCGACCGCACTAGTAGCCCCAAACCGTACTGCATCCTCCACAAAGCCGGGCCTAGCCTCAGGGTTTGGCAACAAAAACCCAGAGAGACTCCTGGTACCCCTTTAACAACTCTCATGAATCCTCTGCAAAGGAACCTCTAGAGCAGCCTTTCTAGAACCTGTACAGAATCCCTACAATGACAGCAATCCAAGAGGAACCCTATTCTCACCAGCAAAGCCCCAAAAGCCTGAACTCCCCGAACACGAAATCCTCAACCTGACCCTATACCCTCTTTTATGGAGCCCTTATCGTCCTTACTGGTGGGTATTTACAGTAGAAGCCAGAAAGTTGGAACACCATTATCCTCATGCCCTTAAGATAAAGTAGAGGGAATCCTAGCACTAATCATCCTAAATCCCTGTTCCAACTTTCTGCGGTTCACTATAAGGTATATTACAGGGCAGTTGGGGGGTCTAGGAGCAGCCAAAGCACATTCCGACGCAGCCCCGTCTTGTTCGCGATGTCAGACTCCAACGAGGCCTCGTGCGAAAGGCGCCCCTTGTAAGGAACCTTTAAAGGGAACGGTAGGATTTAAGGTTTGGGTTATATAGGGTTTAGGGTTTAGGGTTTAGATGTACCTGAAGGACCAAATGACCCTTATATAAAGTATAGGGCCCTATACCCATATACTATGAATCCCTATATGGTCTATGAACCTTAAACCCTTTTAGGGTCCATTTCGTCCTTAAGGTGTAAGGAACCTTTCAAGGGGACCTGTAACGGTGCCAGTAAACCCTCATAATACCCTTGACTGGCACCTTCAAAGGTACCCTCCCTAAATAGGCGTTTCCGAAAATTGGGGTTTCTTCTAAATAAGGATCCTCCTATTTATATTTTAGGGTACTATATTGGGGTCCCCTATTTTCGGAAACTCCCTAAACAGGAGTCTGTGACCTTTAAGGGCTCCTTTAAGGGCTCGACGATTTGTTTTCTGAGGGCTCCGCAAGGAATCCACGAAGGCTGCCATGCGGGCTACGCGCTTCTGTAAGAGAAGGTTTTAATTGTGTATTTTACGACAGAGCCTGTTGTTGTTGTTGGTTTTTTGGGGGTTAAGGATATTCAAGACAGAACTGTTTTAGGGGGTAGGAGTAGGGGGCTCCTTGAACGCCAAAGCTCGCAAGCTCTGGAATCCCCAAGAAACGAGTCAAGCCAAAGAAACTACCAAGAATCTTCCCAAAACAAGCTAGCTCCATCATGCTCTCAAATACTCAGCTCCTGGCATTGTACTCAAACAAGACTGTTACTCAAGCCCTAAAGACCTTAACCCCAAAAGCCTCAAACCGACAGCACAACCTTAAACCCCTAAACCCTACATCCCCTTAAACCCCTAAACCCTAAACGCCCTAAACCACAAACCCCTGAACCCCTAAGCCCTCAACCCCTAAACCCCTCAGTCCTAAATCCAGCACCAAACCCGGCCTCTGAGTCAAAAGACGGCGGACTGGCCGGATAGTCGGTGAAGGTGGGCAGATGCAGCACCTCTTGGTCTTTCTCCTGCTTGGCTTCAAGCTCTAAGCGTAGGCTTAGGGCGTCGAAAGGGTTAGGGGTTCTTCCTAAACCCTAAACCCCAAGAACCTAAACCCTAAACCCTAAGCTTCAGGACTGTGGTCCGAGAATCAGGTTTAGGCAGACTCAGGGATTACAACTCAGAACAAGGAACCCTGCAAAGCAATACAGGAGCCGCAATCAGGAGAACAGGGGGTTGCGGGTACATTATACTGTAACTATTGTGATGGAACCTTAAGACATGATTTCGATAACTGCTCAGGCAGCAACATCAGGGTTTCTTGGGGGTTCACGGTCTTCGCGCCCGCCCAGCTTGAACAAGGAACAGTCTTCCTTGAATATGACAAGATAACCTTGCCAGTCTGCTGATGGACGAAATCCTGCACCGTAGAAGATATGATGGGCATCGCCGCCATGTCAGGGCCCTGGCTCAAAGGGAGCCTCAGGTGGACATAGGCAGAGGAGCAGTCTGCACCCAAGAGGTCGGCCGGAACATGTAGACATTCACCTGGTCCTCCTCCAAGTGGCAGGTCTGCCGCACCCACTTGTTGACATGAAAAGCCGCCGCATTGGGCGGCAGGTTCTTCACGTAGATCAGGACGAGAGCCATGTAGAACAAGTGGTTTAAGTGGTCTCCTTGTCAGTGTGTGCTGCGTGTGCTGTGAGTGCTGTATGCGCTGTGAGTGCTGTGTGTGATGTGGCCTTTGAAGTGCTCACCATCGCTATCCTCACTACTGAGGCCACTAATTAGAATATATAACATGGGAAAGAGACTAGGGGTTTAAGGCTCATGGTCTTCGAGGGAGCAGGGCTGCAAGTGCCGTATCGAAATTGGGGTCGTAGATAGGCAGCTGTAGTTGCGTGTATCCGATCGGTTTTGGGTCTAGGGCTTAGACTAGACCCTAGACATAAATGACCTTCAAAAATCAAGCAAGCTCTGCCTGAACCCTATACTTGAATTCTTACGGTCCTACGAACCGAAACCACCAACCCTGCAAAATGATGGGTAATGGCTGCTGTCTAGGGTAGGGCCTGCTCGTTGAATCATCCCGCTACTTCAGCCCAAACCGTCTCCGAGCCTGGCGGGTTCGGGAATCATTTCATGGACCCCTAACTGTGGCTCCAGTGACCTGAGTCTGGATGCTCCTACTAAGTCCTACACTACCCTGTCACTGTCTACCCAGCTCTTCCAATCTAATATCCCGAGGTGAAGGAACATACCTCACATCACAACAGGGTCCCTAATGCGATTTGAAACATATTCCTCGGTTAAGGGAAGCTGTCTGATCTGGGGAACCTATCCCTAAACCCACAAACCCGAAAGGTCACAAGTAAACCCAAAGATCGCTTGTGCCTCGGTTTGGATTACTGAATCGAGGATGCCTAGTAACCTAGGAATAACAAGGGCTCCCTTTTTGGTATTGGGTAACTCTATACGTTTTGCATTGAAAATGACTCGGTTCTTGAGTAGCCCCTTGATAACTCCTACTATTCCGCGGTATCCTTTACTCCTCCCAAATCCCGAAAAACCATCTAAAACCCCTCTCTTCTAAACTTATAGCCTTAGTTACACCCTAAACCTTAAATCCTACACCCCTAAACCCTAGCTTTTATGTCCACCTCGACCTCAACGACGGCCTCGCCGACGTGGAGCTCGCCCTCCCAGGGTTCTGCTTTCGAGGATGATCGACCTAACCGCGCCTTGTACCTCAGTCCGCTACGATTTAGGGTTTAGGGTTAAGGGTACTGCCGAAAACCCAAGGACCCAAGGAAATAAAAGTCGAAACTTTCAGAATCGACGTTTAGGACCTAATGGCGTAATGGCAGTGTGGGTTTCGGACCATGTCTGGAGAAGAAACCGACGGCCTCTTTCTGTAGAAGCCCTTCCGCAACTCCATAAAACTCTCGTGGACCCAAGTGAAACCGCTCACCCTAAACCTTACCTGTGACCCCAAACCCTACAAAAGAGTGGGTTATGACCCCTTAATTAGGGGTCGAACCCCCGAAACGGTAGGTTGTTGGATACCCAGGTACACTCCCTAAACTCTCAACTCCCTCAACCCTAAACCCCCCAAGCCCGAAACCCCGAACCCAGCGACCTCTCGGTGGACGCCCTCGGCTCTGCAGCAGAGAAACATTGCGGCGCGTGGCGCGAAGGATCCTAGGCAATTCCTTGATCCTGGTCGTGGGGCGAAGTTTGGTGTTTAGGGTTGGATTGGGGGATTTGGCATTGGGGGGTGGAGTTTAGGGTTTCGGGTTTAGGCCCTAGAGTTTGGGGCGTATAAGGCTCTACTACGGCGCCATGGGTGTCGCAAGCAACTATTAAACTATGCTGGAGGGCTTGAGGCGAAGGGGTCGATGTAGGGTTGCCTGGGTTTCTTGCAAACAAGGGTGTTGTGTGGCTTACCTAAACCCTAAACCCTAAACCCCTAAACCCTGAACCCTGAACCCTAAACCCTGAACCCTAAACCCTAAATCATAGGGATTTATGAACTCTGGGCTTCAGTTTCTTTGAAAGGGTCACTTAGCGTGCTCGTCGCGCCGAGGGATTCATGGGGGTTTGCCCTGACCAGGGGTCTATAAGGGATCTATTAGGGTTTAGGGTTGATGATACAATTCCTGCATTGCCCATAATGAGGCATATACCATTATTCCCATAGTCAAGGATCCTCAAGATAGTGCAGGCAGGATGTATATCATCAACCGTATTTTTCTAGTTGGTCGTGCTAAGATTGAACTTACCTATACGGCTTTGCCATTGTAGCTAAGATTTGACAGTCTTGATCGTCAGCACTCCAGCCTTTAAGCCTATTCCCTGAACGTGACAAGCCCCCAAACGCCTATCCCCTCCCTTCAGAGACAACACACACACACACACACACACACACTCTCTCTCTCTCTCTCTCTCTCTCTCTCTCTCTCTCTCTCTCTCTCTCTCTCTCTCTCTCACACACACCTACACCTAGGAACCCTGTAATTAAGCCCACGCCCTACAAACCCACCCACATGAACCTGTAAAAGCACAGCAAAACCTAAAGACTATGAACCTGGTCACCCTAAACCCTGAAACCCTAGACCCTAAACCCTGAATCCCTAAACCCTGAAACCCTAGACCCTAAACCCTGAATCCCTAAACCCGAAACCGCCCTAAACATACTCACCCACTCTTCGGGTTCTCGCTCCAGCGGTGCTGCCCAGGGGCTCCGAGCAGGCCAAGGAAAAGGCCTCATGATGCTGCAGAGGTCGGTGTGAAGTGTAAGGATTTTTAAGACTTTCCGAACAATGAATCGGGCATTCGGCATTTAATTGCTGAGCTCTTTTACTGACTGTCTGACTTGGTTCTCAAGAAGTGGTACCCTGGGGGTCCATAGGAGTTTGCGAAAATAGGGGACCCTAACGTAGTAGCCTAAATAGCAGGATCCTTATTAGAAGGACCCCAAAATAGTCTACCCTTATTTTCGGACACTCCCATTTAGGGTTTTGGGTTCTCTGAGGGATCTTTGGGTTCTGGGCTCCCGGCTTCGGGTTTAGAGTTTGGGGTTTTCGGCTTGTTTCCTTTCCGTCTGCCGAAACGCTTAACCTGTGAACCATGTGAGGCTAAAAGTTAAAGGCCTACATACTTAGCTGTGAAGAAGGTGCTATTGAATAGTGGATTCAAGGGCTTTAACCCGAAAACCTCAGAGCCCCGAAACCCTCATACTCCCAATCCCTATAAGCCTTAAACCCCATGACGGACTAAGTGTTTCTGGCTTCAAGATCGGGCTTGCGGGGCCTCAACAGCTAGAATAGGGTTTGGGGCTTAGGGCTTAGGGATGCATGCTATATCATCGCTGTATTCACGAACCCTGCTAAAGATGAATGCTTGTACCAATTATACCAACCCGTGTATTACCAGGTGTCGGACGACAGCTCCATGACCCGAAATGACACATCAGAAGTTGGCGGCGCTTTGGGCTTACGGTATGGACTGCCATAAGGGGGCCTGGAGGAACAAATCAGGCATAAATAAATACATACGCACACACATATGGATATAGACACATACATCTTCACATACAGCGCCAATACAGATACATGTACACATATAAACACACACATACATCTAAGTACATCTGCATCTGCATATACACTTACACATACATGTCACGTATACATGTACATATACGTAAACATATACATAAACATATACATATAGAAGCAGAACAAACTTGCGGGTAATTACGTTTTAGTTGTGGTACGTGTATGTTGAAACATATTTGCATAAGTTATTCAAAGTCCGGGTTTCGGGGTGCATATCTCGTGTTGAAACCCCCAAACCGTCAACCCCTCGATCCGTCAACTTCGACTCAATACCGTGCAGTCTCAACGAATGAGACTAGGTAAGGTGAGCCCATACTATGAGGGTCTGAAAAAATAGAAGAGGGTTTTCGGGTGCAGTGTAGTTCATTTGCGTAGGTAATTGGAGGGTATTACGAAGTATCTGGGCCGTTACAATCGGGGATGACCAATCTGCTAAATCCAGAAAGCCAGATGGCTGAAGGATGCTAACCTCTAGGCTAAACATCGCACGAGCCTCTGCCTAACCCCTGAAACCCTTACCAAGGATGATCACATCCGGACCCTTGAATCCAGGCATAAACCCTATGGTTCAGGGTTGAGAGGTGTAGAAGTCCAGCGATTTCGGTTTTGTACAGAAAATCTTCCCAACCCGAACGACCTAATAAGAACCCTGTAATAGATCCTAAAGTTCTAAGCCATAAACCCTGACAAGGCGAGTTTTGCGAGCCTGGGACCTCGCCCCGCTGCCAGCAATCCTGCAGGCCACGCTGCCTGCCACATGACCATGATTCTACTGTTGATGATATAAATCCTAGGGTTCCCTTAACGGGATCTGTAAGGGATCTATTAGGGTTTAGGGTTGATGATACAAATCCTGCATTACCCAGAATAGGGAATATAGCATAATTCCCACAGGTTAGGGTCCTTAAGGTCATGCAGGGCTTATATCATCAACCGTAGGAGTCAGCTTGTTCTCATTATACTGCTTGTGCTTCTGATGATGATGATGACGATGAACCTTCTGAAGATGATAATTTTGGTACTATTACTATGACGACGACACAAGGCACCGACACTCCGATGAGCTCGATGCTGAAGACTTACGTGTAGCATGTAGAGTTTACTGTGTTTGTAAGGCTTTCAAAGTGTATGGGGCTTGTAGGGTTTCTTTTGTAAGTGCACTTGTAGGGTTTAGGGTGTGGGATTTATAGTGTTTGTTGGGTTCTTCGGTGTTTAGGGTTTCGGGGAAGGGTGTATGGCTTCTTTCGCATCGCTTACGGGGTTTATAGTTGACAGGCTCTAAAGGGCTTAGTGTATACAGGTTCATTCGGGCTTAGGGGGTTAAACTGTTTAGGGTCAATCATGAAAGGTTTTTCAGGCTTAAGGTTTTAATGCGACCCGAACAGAACCCTTGAACGAAGCCTTGAAGGAAACAACTTTGTGTAGTATAGTACCATGCGGCATACTATATTATAGTAAAAGTATAATAACCGTATAGAATAATATAGTATGTTTAGAATAAAGAAAGAAAGCTGAACAGGAGCCTTTCTACCCAAAGCCTAAACCCTAAACCCTAAAACCCTGCACACTAAACCCCCAAAACCCTAAACCCTAGAACCCCTAAGACCCTAAGACCTAAAATCCTGAAACCATAAACCCCAAACCCTAAGACCCCCAACCCCACGACCCTTTGTAGGGACCCAAACAAGGTGCCTGTACATGTCTCCCAGGGCCGTGGCGGCCACGGCGAAGATCGGAGTGGCGCCCACCTTGAGGGTTTAAGCGTTCGGGGCTTTAGGGCTTAGGTGTTTAGGTTCCAGGATTTATGGTTTAGGGTAATTAACGGATTTAGGACGTAGGGCTTAGGGCTTAAGCTTTGTTCAGAGACTCGTGGTTCAGTGCTTAAGCAGGAAAAGAGCAAGAGGCGAAGGCTCCAGAAAGATGTATTCCCGTAGATTTCATGCTTCGGTCCAAAATGCACAAGGGCATCATTGACGTGCGAGACAGATCCATTGCAACATCTTCAAACCCCGTAAGCATGAATCCTACAGAACCTTCTAAGCATGTCTGAAGAACCTTGAAGAAGCCTAACAACATTGAAACGCTAATAAGCTTGAAGCTGATGACTTAGGTACGGCCCCCTTACAGTAAGAGTCTATAATAGGGCTACTATTAAGGTCCTACTATATCTATATTATGAATATTATTCAACTATTACTGAGTGCGGGCCGTACCTAACTGATGACACCGGAAATCCGGGCCAACTTACAAAAACAGTAGATCGAGTCCCCAATGGGATTTCCCTATGAGAAGTACGTCACTTTTGGGTAAAGAATAAGACCCTCAAAAGGGCTTTCTGAACCCTAAACCCTAAACTCCTAAACCCTAAAACCGCTTCAGAGAGCTACCCGAAAGAAGCTGTGGCAGCAGACGTTAGTTCCCTAAGGGTCCATGTACTCAAACAGTATATACTTTGGCCCTAATGTACCTGTATAGGGAATACTTTAAAGCCAAAGTATATATGCTATTTGGGTACATGGACCCTCAGGGTAAACTCCTCAAACCCGAAGCCCTCACCATCCTCCTAAACCCTCAAAACCCCAAACTCCGAACCATAGACCTCAAACCCCTATAAAGGGAACTCCAGAAAGTTGGAATATGGTTTCAGGGTAGGATACCCTATAATTCACCATAAAAGGTTTAGGATAATCATATTCCAACTTTCTGGCTTTTACTATAAAGCCCTAAAGACCCTTAGGGGTTTTGTGGGCTCGAGCTTGAGCACTCGAAGGGTGAGGTTCTTTGATCTGCAGCTGCAGAAGGACAATTGATCCATCGTCACCCTATCAGCTCTATAAACCTATGAACCCCATAAGCCCTTTAGGCCACATAATTTAAGATAAACCCGATAACCCCTATGAGTCCTACAGCCCTATAAGCCTTTATAAGCCCTCCTGCTTCCTCCTTTCAACCCAGAAGCCTCATACAGTTGGATCCTGACTGAGGAAGACACTCCTCGACATGCGAACCCGTAGAACCCTTGGCTCCCTTAACGGATCACTAAGGCTCTTTTAAGGGATCCTTAAAGGGATCTATAGGGTTCCTTTAATAAAGATTTAAAGTATCCTTCAGGGATCTCTAGGGCTGCTCTTATCTGGGTTCCCCGGTTGCCCCTTGATAATGAGTTTACACGTTTTTCCTTTTTGGTTCGAAGAAGGAAACTCGACAGAAAAATGGAGCAGGGGAACTACTGGGGAACTAGTTATAATTAGACCCCTTCTACAAGCCCAATATAGAATTTTGGTGGACCTGCAACCTTTATACACCCCTGCTTGTTTTTGACCTTGTAAATCCCCCCACTGTCAACTTGAAGACCCTGTCTTGCAACTGCGCTGCAAGCGCCGAGGCCGCACTAACGTTGATGCCCAGGCTCCTTAGCATATTACAAGGCCTTGAAGAGCTAGCACAGGGTATACCCTAAACCCTAAACCCCTAAACCGCTAAAGCATGTGGCCCTTGAGGCACCTAGATTCAAGTAGTGCTTTATTATAGGGGCCGAAGACCCAAGAGTAACCTAGGAATGAAAAGTGTGCCCTTCTTGGTTTACAGGGGCTTATGAGGGAACCTGAACCCTAGAAAAAGGAATAAGGGCCTATCTTATCTTTACTAAAACAGGCTTTTGAGATAACGTATTGTCATATCACTCGTATGGACGACCTGGGATCTAAGGGATTCTGGCGATCAGGCTTCCACGGTCGTCTACTGCTGGCGGAATAGGGATACGCAGTAAGCTATGCAGTTCCTCAGGGTGGTAGCTAAAAGGACCCGTATCAAGAAGCCAAAAAAGAATGTCTCTTCCACTTTCCCATGCAGCATGCTTAGCCAACAAGCTTCTTCCATGGAAGCCGATGATATCTCCAGACACTCCTTTGCTTCGTCGGTATCACAAAGATTGTATCCGACAATAGCTCCGGTGAATGGAACTCCGGTCGACATGAAGTTGATGTAATGACATACACCAGCCTTTTCGATCCAGATTGTCATCGCGGAAGCCTGCTTCTCCTCGTTGAGGAACTCCATAAATGCTACGCACGACATCATGAGCTCCAGTGGAATCTTGATCATCTCACCAAGATTGTCGCGGAGGTGCTTCTTTGCTCTTAGGGGCGAGGAAAACCTTCAACCCTAGCACAGCGGCCTTCAGAATTTGAATAGGCGTTTGGTTAAGCATTTAAGCGTAATCTCCTTGACCTGAAGGACGAAATGACCCTTAAAAGTAGGGGCCCTATACCCATATACTATGAATCCCTATGTGTTATATGAACCTTAAACCTACCTTTTTAGGGTTCCTTATTATGCGAAGCCACCTGCTTAGATTATAATAACCCTAAACGGAGCGTGTGACATGGCGACAACACCGTAGAACACCAGACGATTAAACGTTGGGGTTTAGGGTTTAGTGGTTTCTTGAAGTACCCAATGACCCTTAAAAGTAGGGGCCCGAAACCCATATACTATGCATCCCTATATGGTATATGAAACTTAAACCCTTTTAGGGTTCATGTCGTCCTTAAGGTTTAGGGTTTAGTGGTTTGAGGTCCCCCCCCCCCCCCCCGCCTCACTCAAAACCCTAACACTGCCCGACCCCTTCAAAAAGCAAGCCTCAAGGTACTTCCGACCGGGATGCATGGATTCGTCTGCGGCCGAATTAAACCTAAACCCTACCTTAACCCAGAAGAACCTACCTTTTGAGGACTTCTATAAGGAAGTTATGATAAGGAACCCTAAAAAGGTGTGTAATTCAGGGTTAAGGCAAACATATAATTCCTAAATCCTAGACCCGGAATGCATCCTGAAAATCTGCCGATGTACAATGCGGCTGCGAAGAAGGTGTAGGGCAGGACTGTGTTGCAGACTCCGACGCATGCCAGCTTTCGCACTTCCTGTGCCGACACTGCGAGCGTTGAAGGCTTTATGGCTTAGGGAGTTTTTGATTCAATTTAGGGTTGAAGATTCAGGCTTAAAACCCTGAACCCTGAACCCTAAGCTTTTTCTTAGAGCGCTTCGGGTCTGGATTCTTTGTCTTTGTGCACGAAAAAAGTCTCGCAAGGAGGCAGGCTCAGGGCTTAGGGTTTAAGCAAGCAGTCATGGGACGGATGGGTTGGGTTTCGGGTTTAGGGTTTAGGGTCGGCTGGACGCATCCTAAATACCTGCATAGTGCAAAGCAAAATATCCCATTGTAGGCAACGCAGGAGCTTGCGTTACAAATGAGAATTCGGTTTTGGAGCTTGTTATAGCATGTCAGCAACCCTAAGTAACAATCTTGGCCATTAAATTATTCAGACCCCTATTCTAGGGTTTGTATGTTGTGATTCGCCAAAAGACTTATCAGCTGTGTCAATCTTCCGTAGTATAGATGCCTAGAATTCATTGGGTACTAAATCCTAGCCCGCGTTTCGAACCCAAGCCCTCGGGCGTGCGCCTCTCGCCGGAGCATGCAGAGCTCCCCAGGCATCGCGCATGCCTGCGCTGGTGGAGGGGATCTCAAAAGGTTCAGAAAGACCTTAAGGACGAAATGAACTCCAAAAGGGTTTAGGGTTCTTATACCATATTGGGATTCATAATATATAGGTAGAGGGCCCCTACTTTTAAGGGTCATGTGGTCCTTCAGGGAGGGAGCCTCAATAACTCTAGTTAGGGTTTGGGAAGGGTTTAAGGGCTCCTTTCAGCTCTAAACCCTAAATCTCTATACCGTAAACACCTTACAAGCGCTAAACCCCGACAATACCCTTGTATATTAGAAGGGGCCCCCACCCTGTAATAGTGGTATAATAGGAATATAATAGGGCCCCTAATAGAATCCTTATAGTCTCTCTATTACAGGGTGGGGGCAGCTTGAAACTTGTAAAACTAGAAGAAGAGCCACAAGGAGTTCCTCAGGCTCCCATCTTGCCCTTTTGGGCGCATCCTTCCGAGCTTTCTATTGGTGGGACACCCAAAAACCCTGAAACCTAGGGTTTAAAAAGGGACCTAGAAGGGTATTGTAATGGAGTTTAGGATTAAGGGTTTAGGGCTCAGGGTTTAGGGTTCAGGGTTTAGGGGTTTAGAATTCGGCCTTAAAGCAAAACACTTTCCTGCACGTGGAGCTGGCAGGCCAGCAGGGCGCAGCTGCCCAGAAGCAGGCGACACATCACCTCCCCGATTTAGGGTTTTGGGGTTTTCTTGAAGGGTTCCCTAAACGGTTGTTGTTGAAAGCTTCCTGAAAGGGTTCTACAAGGATGACTATAAGGGTTAATGTAGCGGGCTTTGATTGCCATCAGGTTTTGGAGAAAATTGCGGCATAACTATATATATTCAGGAACCGCACCGAAATTTCCATGTATGTTTCTCCAGCTTCTAAAACTATTAATGTAGTTCTATCAAGTTGTATATCAGTTTTGGTGGGTGTAAGAGGGTTTTCACAGCAAGGTCTTATGAGCTATGAAGGGCTTGCCGGGTTTTACCGAAGTACACGTACCTATGCGACCCATTCCAAAGGTAGACACACACCAACCCCACACCCTAAACTTTCATGCCAATGTAGGTACTTGGGACTCTTTCGACGTTGGCGTGCCTGGTTGCCAAGCTGCGGCTTCTTTTCGTTTTCACGAGTTTGATGAGCATGTAGGAGATTTTGTAGGCTTTAAAGGAACGTGCTCAAAATACACGACAAGGAAAGCATGGTGTTTTACGCATAGTTCTTTAATTCAGGGTCCCAGTTTAGTCCCAAAAATAGCGCGGCAACCTTATCGAAAGGACCCTAGGCCGTAAAAGTGACCCTAATTTAGAGAAATACCAGTATAGTCGTATCATGAAACTAAATTGAATTCCTCAAAATCGTTCGGGATTGGAAGGCTTAGGTATGCATAAAGGTTTGGAAATCCTAAGCCCTATCCCTAAACCCAATAAACCCTCTGTATACCCTGAACCCTAGGGATTTGGAGTCCTTAAGAATGAAAGACTACTATTTGCTTAAGAACCCCCCACAAAATAAAAATAGTAATCCCTATATTACTCCCATAAGGATTATATTTTTTATTTTTTGGGGGTTCTTGAGCAAATAGTAGAAGACCCCCGCCCGCACCCCGCAACTGGGGTTTAGGGTTCGGGATCGCTTTTGATACCGAGATCTGCAGTACAGAGCGCGAAACTCCAAGACTGCTGGCTTCCTTAAGGACGAAATGAACTCTAAAAGGATTTAAGGCAGACACCTTAATTACCCTGATAACTGTAGTAATTAATTAACAAAAGGGTCTGAAGGGGGCATATACCATAGGGATTCATAGTATATGGGAACAGGGCCCCTACTGTTAAGGGTGAGTTGGTCCTTCAGGTTTGGACTCCAAACCCAAGGCCATGGCTCCCAAAACCCCACACCCAGAGGCTCGTCCACAAACTTCAGAGGCTCCTAAAGTCCTAACCTTTCCTCCCAAACTTACGGTTTAGGGTTTAGGGTTTATAGTGTTTAGAGACTTTCCCAAGCTCAGCTGCGCACAAGCACCCCTACGGAAAGCCAGCCGAGTGGCCAAGCTGAGGGGCGGGAAGGAGTCCTCTGTGGCAGGAAGTATGGCTTCTAGCATGCCCAGAAACCTAGGAATAAAAAGAGCTCCCTTTTTTGAATTTGGTATTGGGTAACTTTACAATAGGAACCTGGGACTACAAAAAGGGAATAGGGGTACCACTGGGCATCCTAGGCTTGGGGTTTAGCGGTCGGGTGGGGCCCGGGGGTTGGGGAGGTTCAGGATTTCGGTGCTCAGGTATTTACGGGTCGCGGGGTTTGTTCTGTTTGCTTGGGTGTTGGGCTTTGGCTTTTTGAGTGTAGGGTGTGCAACAAATTTGAGGTCTAGACCCGTAAAGATTCTTCGTCTTGCTTACCACAAAAAGGTCTGCTACAAGTCTCAGCTCTAGTGGTTTCCAAGTTTAGGCACTCTGTCGAGCAACTTCCGTCTAGATGTGACGCGGCAACATGCCAACCCCATGCACTAAATCACCCCTCTAAAGCCTAAACCCTAAACCCTCTAAACCCTAAACCCTGAACCCTAAAAGCGGCAGTCCGGGTAGTTTCTTGGATCCTAGACCACGCGTGGTGTCAGGTGTATTTCCAATTCATGGCTTGATGCTGCTGGACGCCCTATGCGATAATCCCTGAAGCCTTAGAAATCATAGCAAAGACAGAGGAAACACACAAGAACCTGAAAGCCTAAACAGCTTCAAACCCTCCCAAGATAAAGCAGTCCAAAACAAAACCTTGAACAACCTTTAACCCCTGCAATGCCACTAGCTATGATTCAACCCTAAACCCTTGAGAGTTATGATTCCAACCCCCCCCCCCCCCCCCAAAAAAAAAAAAAAAAAACACATCGGGAAAATCTTTCTCCTTCAACTGGCTGGTGAAGAGGAACATGCTTCCGGCCTTGGATTTGCTTCCCGGGCCGTGATGCAGGGATTCAGGCGGCTCTGAGCGGGCGTCTATAGGGTTTCAGAGAGTTTCGTAAGGGCTGTTTACGGTGCAATGAAGGAAATGGAATTCACAGGAGGGGCCTGAATAATTAGACTAGATTTGGGTTTAAACTCATACCGTTGAGAAGTGCATTACTTGTGAACTGGAACTCAACCGTAGGACTTTCGGATTGCAGGATTTGCCTCTAAGCTTACGCGGATTTGGAGTTTCACAAGTGAAGATGTACCGCGCCTATTTCGACCTAACAAGCAACCAGTACTTCCTAATCCCTAAACCCTAAACCCCTAAACCCTAAAGCAGTATTTCCTAAACCCTAAACCCCCAGGCTCCCAGTCGCCCGAATCTAGGCCACAGTGGTTGACCAGCTTCAGAGCATGGAGGCGGCTTGACCTGTAGCACATACTGACCTTACCTGAAGGACGAAATGACCCTTAAAAGTAGGGGCCATGTACCCATATACTATGAATCCCTATATGGTATATGAACCTTAAACCCTTTTAGGATCCATTTCGTCTTTAAGGTAACAATGAGAAGAAGGCTGATGGGGTAGACTATGTAGTGTGCTTATAAGGTAAAAGCCAGAAAGTTGGAATATCGTTATCGTAACCCCTTTCAGGTAAATTATAGGGTATCCTACCATGAAACCATATTCCAACTTTCTGGAGTTCCCTGTACAGGGATGAGTCCGAGATGGTGAGCGGCCGATGCCCGAAAGCCTATCTTGTCTGCCGCAATGCGAGCCCTTTGCGAGGCTTCAACTTGTATTGAAGCACTCAGCCGTAATAAAGCCCAGGCTCGCGTCTCAGCTCCAGCTTATCAAGAATCCCTAAATGTCCATGTACCCAAACAGTATATACTTTGGCCCCAATGTACATATACAGGGAGTATTTAAAGGCCGAGGTATATACTGTTTGAGTACATGGAACCGTTTAGGGAACGGCCGTGGCCTTGCGATACGCCCTTTGTCGTCGACGGTGCAGCCATCCAACTGAGCCGAACCTTGTGCCTGCATCCGGCCTGCCAAGAATAATGTAGGAACCTGATTAAGAAACCTGGGGCCTTTATTATAGGGTTCTTTATACGATGTCCTTATACGAATCCTACGATTTTGGGGTTATAGGCCCAGGGTTTCTTCATCAGGTTCCAACAAACGCGACTTTCTCCGCCACAAGGTCCAACATGCTGGCGTCGATCTGGTCAAGGGTCAGGCGCAAAATGAAGTCTTGGGTTTAGGGTTTAGGACGTTGGGGTTTAGGGCTTAGGCTTTAGGCTTTCGGGTAGCACAAACTCCACAGCCTGTCCCAAAGGGGCCAAGTAATTTGGGCCCAACTATCTTGGTACTTGGACCCTTTGGGTGACTTGCCCATACCCCATTCAGCAGTTAGAGCCCTACTCCTTAATCCCTGAGCTGCCCTAACCCCAAACCATTAATCCATAAATGCAATCTCGGAGGAGGGGTGTCAGCAGAAGCTCAGCAGGTTTAGGGGTTTAGTGTAGTGGTTTTAGGGGTTCAGGGTCTGGAGAGGCCTTCAAACAAATCCTAGGCGGAACTGCGCAGAAATCCACAAACTGAACACCGCAAACTTTCCAAGAGGGTCCAAGTACTCCCTATTATAGGACTGTAGAGCCTTTCTAGATACCGGTACCATAAACCATAAATAAGGACTACTTGGACCCTTTGGGTTTAAACCAAAATCCCCAGCCCGGAAACCTTAAGGAATAAACAGACCAGACTTCCTAGACACTGAGACCTGCAAATCCTCAAACGCCGAAGAGCTTGGGGCTTCCCTAAACCCTAAACCCTAAACCCTACCTACTTTTTTAATGATTTAAATCCTGCATTACCTTAAGGACCCTAAACTATGGGAACTATGGTATATTCCTTATTAGGGGTAATGCAGGATTCATATCATCAACCGTATTCTCAGTATGCTTGGCGCTGTCATTGGTACGTCTATGCTGACGATTGCCAACTTGTATCATACGTTTGATCATTACTGCAATTCTTGTTCTTAGCTTTTTTTTGTTCTCATTATTGCCCTTAGTCTTACTCCGACTCTTACTGTTGCTACGACGACTAATGTTACTAGTTTTACTATATTATGTCTATGCGCATTATTGCCTATAGTTCATTCTGGACTTTGAAGTAACCAGGGAGAAAAACGTATACACTTTAATTTGATAGTGGTTCCTTTAAGGAACAGGTACCAAAAAAAGGTCTTCTCAAGTATGGTACTCCAAACCCAGGCATTACAGTATAACCCTAGGTTCGAGTCCCCCGGCGATGATGGAGCATGTGAAGAACGCCGACACATCCAGCCTGGAGCTCTCAGATTTCGCTTGAGATGGGCGTTTCCGAAAATAGCGGGGGGGGGGTATTATAGTACCTTGAATAGTAGGATCCTTCTCATAAGGACCCCCCAAATAAGGTACCCCATTTATCGGAAACTCCAAGATCAAGGCTAGAGCAGTTTGTGTGTACTTAGAGGCTGAGTACCCTAGCCCAAAACGGCGAAATTATGTGACCTTTTCAAGTATGGTAGGGTTCTATAAACCCCAAAATATTTACCCAGCTACTAAGTGTACATGTCTGTCCGCATGGTATGTAATGTGCATGGTATGCAACTAATATGTATGCATGTCCGCATGTATGCATGCATGCAAGTGTATATACGCAGAATGTATGTTGATGTAATTAGGTGTATGTACGTTTTGTGTGCATCTATGTGTTGTACATGTACAAATTGTAGAAGCACATGCATATGCGTGTATGTGACGTGTATGCCGTGAATGTATGCATATGTGAGAATCTTTATGTGGGTACATGTGCTGATAAGGTTAAACGAGCTGTATGTATATGTAAGCGTAGATGTATATGTTTCAGTAAAAGTGAGCTGATATGTATATGTCTGTGTCACTGTCGAACTTCTAAGTCTGTAAGTGTACATGTATATGTGCAAGCATATGCTTGTCCACGTACGTAATCATGCACGCATGGCATTAGCGGAACCAATACTTGCATGTACCACTAAGTGCTAGTGCGGTTCCCATGAACACATACAAGATGTGTGTGTGTGTATATATATATAGTCATATATATATATATATATAGTCATATATATATATATAGTCATATATACAAATATATCATTGTTACGAAATATTAACACGAGCAAAGGAAAAAGACAGCAATAGTGATAAGCACATCCCTACTATACTTCCTGTAGCAGCAGTCGCCAGTCGGAATCATAACAACAGCAGAGGAATAACGTTAATAATCATCACACTCATCATATTCACACACACAATAATAGTGGACACAGTAATGAAAAGTAATGATAACATTAATGACAATAGTAATGAGAAGAATAACATCAACATACTAGTAAACGTAATGATTGTAAACCGTGAAAGCATGAAGCAATAATAAACACAAATACACGCAGTACCAGAGCTAATGATCGGAACAATAACAATACCATACTACCATACAGGTCATACACAACATGTCATAGCATTACTAACAATATGACAAACTATTGGTCCCTTCCTCTTTGGGGGGGGGGGGGGGGGGGGGCGCATGTTTATGAACTATGGTTTATGCGTGGTTTAGGGGGTTCGGGTCGCGAAGCTTGAAACCCAGCTTGCGGACTCTGGCTGCAGTGGTGAAGTCCGGAGAGGGTCTCGGTTCTTTAGGTTTGCGATTTTTGTGTTTAGGGTTTAGGGTTTTTGTTGGGGTTCAGGGTTTACGGGTTTAGGGTCTGGGGTTCGGTGTTTCTGGGTTTAGGGTTCAGGCTGCCGGCTGCGCAGACTCAACTAAGGTTCTGGGTGCATACGGTTCTGGGGCTTGGCATAGGAGTGGGTTTAAGGTGTTAAAACATTTGGGAGTTTCCGGGGACCCTAATTTATAATACCCTAAATAATTAGTAGGATCCTTAGTTTAAGGACCCTCCAAAAGAAGGTACTCTAATTTTCGGAAACTCCCATTTGGGTCTAGGCAGTTAAGAAAGCTCGGGAAGCGGCAGTAGACAGCCGTGTCGGTGGTCGGAAGGCATGGTGAAGCTAGTGAAAGCAGAATATGCCAGGGTCCAGTTTCGGGCTGAAGGCTTCGGGTTTAGGGTTTGCTCAGCTTACGGCATTCGGGGTTGCATGGTTGGGAGTTCTCTAAACCCTAAACAAAGCCTATCCCCCAGGCCATAACTTCTTGTCAACGGTGCAAGGTTGAGGCCTAGGTTTCAGAGTTCGGGGTTTAGGGCTTAGGGCTTAGGGGTTAAGGGGCTTGAGGGCTTGAGGAGGGTAAGGTTTGGAGATTCAATGTTCGGCGGTTTGGGTTTTTTAGGAGTTCAGGGGTGTCGGGTTGTGGGGACAGCTGTTGAGGCGATTGTGCTTCGGCTTCTTGTGGGGATCTGGGGCTTAGATGCGCGCTTTGTCGCAAAGCAAGACCTTGTGAGCCAGAAGCAGGCGTCCGACATGAACTGGGTAATTCTGCACAGTTCGGGTCTCTTATTTTGGGGTTCGGGTTCTCAAGCTATAGGGTGCCGTATGAAGGGAAGAATGGTATGGAGTTCCTCAAAAGGGGCCCATTCTTTCGAGAGCTACCCAACTGGGTCTATTTGTGCAGACACTTACGCAAAAGGGCCTTAAGCATTTGTCTGGGGTACAACTCGCACAAACAACTCCGGAAATGGAAACTCAACTTTGTGCCTTAGGACTTTAGTACCCTGTGTGTGCATCCTTGTTCTCAAGCCTATGGCCCCAAAACCTGCAGAACCCTGAACAGAAATAAAAGAATCCTGCAACCTTAACAAACCCTGAACCCAAATGGCATACGAATCTTAAATCCCACGCCCTCACACTGAACGCCTAATCCCTATATCCCCCGGCTAGTCAGGGTAGATCCAAGTGGTGCTGAAAGATGGAGAATCGCAGGCGAGAAACAACACCTGAAACTTCCGGGCTCACATCCCTTAACTTAAGCTTTCAGCCACAGGGACCAAAGCCTACCTATAGTCTCCATTGTAGTTCCTTTTTTGGGGTTAACCAATTCCATGGTTAGGATCCTATGACATACAGTAGTTTTTGGCTAACCAGGAAAAGGAACTACAATGGAGACTATAGGTACAGCCTCAACCACTATGTCACTATGGATCGCGTATAGCTAGACACTCTACGAAACCATTTAGGGGATCCTTCAATACCAAATAGCTCAAACCCTAAACCCATTTTGAGGACTAATTTAGAAAACCCCAAGAGCCCTAAACCCTCGACCCCTACAGATTCCTTGCAGAAACCTTGAAGCCACCCTTGTTCAACACCCGAATGGCCCTAAACCCTAAACCCAAACCCTAAACCCTCTAAGGAACTCTTGGGAAACCCTGAACCCAAACCCTAAACCCTCTAAGGAACCCTGTTTCACAACATAGAGCCCTACACCCTCAACAATGCCTTCCGCACCAATACTCGGCAACTCGTCTCTCGTCGATGGCTTTGGCGGAACTTCCTGCGATGCTGTCGGCGCTTTCACCAGGGGTCCAGGGCTCTGTGTATTTGAGGATTTAAGGCTTCAGGGGCTGATGGTTTAGGGCTTAGGGTTTACGGAGGATTTAAGGTTTAGGGGTTCAGGGCTGAGGGTTTATAGTATATACTCTAAGGGCTCCTGTAAATCATCTGAACCGGCTCCTGTAAATCCTGCAAGGGTTCCTTGCTCCTTTAAAGGATCTAACAGCGTTCCTTTAAGGGATACTCTCAGGGATACTACAAGGGCTCCCTCGATGGAGAATTCGTTTAGGGCTACTATAAGGGTAGGATTTAGGGTTTAGAGTTGAAGGTTTAGGGTTCAGGGTTTAGGATTCCGGGGTTTAGGGTTGAAAGCGAAGCCCAGAAAGTTGAAACATGGAGTTAGGATGATTCATGCTGGGATCCCCCTATACTTTACCTTAAGGGTATGAGGACAATTATGTTCCAACTTTCTGGCTTCGACTATAGCTAGGAGGTGGTCTTAAAGCCTTTGAACAATATTACTAGGTAAGATCCTCTTAAGCCCAATAAGAAAAGTTATAGAATGTGCCAAAGCCCTACCTAGTCAGGGTGACAACCCTTGGGCCGAACTCCCTCTGAACCCTTAACCCTAAACTCCCCTCGTGTAGGCAACGGTCCCGGTCTGCACCGCGTTCTTCAAGTTCACCATGGCCTTGCCAGCGATGTCAGCAACCTGGCCAACCGGGTTGGAGGGTCTAGGGTTTGAGGTTTTGAGTTCAGAATTCTAGGGTGTTTGGTTTCAGGTTTAGGGTTTGAGGATCGCGGGTTTACATTTAAAGACACACAAACAAGGGAACAACAAAATGGAATCTAATTTCATGGACAACGGAGACATGAATGAGTAGATGGACAACCATGGTAGTACGTCACACAAGGTACATTCCCCTTTCGAGGTAAGCCGAAACTAGACCATAGATCCTTGAAGCCACAACTCAAAACGAAGTTAAATGGTAACAAAAAGGTAACCAGAACCCGTCCATAATCATAGGAAACAAATACGACCCCCAAAGGTCAGTAAAAGAAACCCGTCCCTTGGACACCAAATGACCCTTATATGTAGGGGCCTTATACAATTATACTACTATATGGTATATGAACTTGGAAACCCCTATAGGATTCATTTCGTCCTTACGGAAGACTATCGTTGTATTAATTTATAAGAGCCCTAAACCTCCAGTATCATCGCTGTAAGAGCAAAGGTCTTGCCTAGCCTGGCCAAGCTTTCCCACGGTGCGCGAGGCAAGATGCTGCGTCTCCTCCACGAACCTCAGAGAACAGTACCCAAAGGGTCCAAGTATCATCATGGTATATACTTAGACCCCCAACATGCCCTATAAGTATATACCAGAATGAAACTTGGACCCTTTGGGGTAGAAGCCACGGATTAGAATTTAGGGCTTAAGGCTCCTGTCTGGGCGGAGCATCCTCAAGGGTTCCGGGTCTCGGGTTTAATGTAGAAACCTGATTAAGAAACCTTGGGCCTTTACTAGAGCTCCTTATATGAATCCTGCAATTTTTGGGGGTTCTAGGATCAAGTTCCTACAGTAGGGTTTAGCAACAGGGCCGTGCCATCTCACTTCAAGGGTCCAAGTACCTAGCAATCAAAAGCTCTCAGTTCTAGGAGCCTGAACCCACATCTCTAATTGGGTCAGACAGATAATGCAGTGGCCTGAATAATTAGAGTAGGGTTTCAGGTGATACGTTCGAAAAATCTAAGGGAACCCTATGGGATGATACAGGATACACTTCAAAACGGCTACGGCCGCTATATTACAGCTCCACTCCAAATCCAGAACCTGAACCCGTACAAGCTCTGCAGCCCAGTGCTAATCATACTACTAACCCAGACCCCCGGGAGGATTCCAAAAAGTAGATCCCTTAATGGGGGTTCCTATAAAGTACCCGGAGTAGTATAGGGCCCTAAATTAGGGGATCTACTTTCTAGATCCTCCCGGGGGTCTGGGAAGTCATCGGATACTCCAGGCAAGCCCCCATCCTCCCTGGCTCACCCTTGGTAGCATCCTGAACGGACCCTGAAAGGTTCTCGTGCTTCACAAGATCTGCGGCCTGGCTCCCGGTCGCATTGAGCGACTGCACAACCCTTCAATCCAAAGCATTCCTAAACCCTAACCCGCAAGCCTCCTCTAGGGCAAGGGTCTAGGGTCCCGTTTAGGGCTAAGGGTCCTAGACGCTAAACCCTAAACTCAACCTTCTAAACCCAGAACCACTGCACCCTGACCCCTCAACCCAAAACCGCTCCACCCCAACCCCTAAATCCTAAACCTCAATCCTAAACCCTATGTCCTAAACCCGATCTACAGTTTTATCAATATCGATCTGAGGCTTGGCACAAGGTCGCCGAGGTATTCAGCTGCTGAAGCTTCTTCTGGGACTCAGAGACGAACCCGTCGAAACCTCCTCGAACAAAGGCCACTTTGGCTTTAGATTAAGGTATATACGGGTTTAGGGTTTTGGGGTTTAGGGTTTTGGGGTTTAGGGTTTTGGGGTTTAGGGTTTTGGGGTTTAGGGTTTTGGGGTTTAGGGTTTTGGGGTTTAGGGTTGGCTGCGGGGTTTAGGGGTTGAGGATTTCTGAAATGGTCCATCCTCCTTCCTCCTATTGCTCTTGCATAGCATCGTGGGTGCGAAGCCATGCCAGCGCCGCGCACGCAACGCATTGATAGCAATAGTGGCGTACGTGCCTGTGCTCCTTATGCGGGCTCTCTGAGAAGCTGCGCCCGCCACTTCAGGAGCTTAGCCCGCGCACGATATGCAGTGTTCGCATGACCGCACACATTCCAACATGCTCAAACACTTGTAAATGCGGGGATAAAGTTGTTCACCCCGCCTGATACATCTGCCATCGCAACTTTCCGGGCTACTTAGGGTTTAGTGCTTAGGGTTCAGGCGTTGGGTTTTAGGATATTTCTGGGTGCTGGCCGCAACAAACGTCAAGAGTCGGGCTCTTCGGGCTAGAACGACTTCGGGATACTTAGAGGATCATGGGACTTAGAAACTAAGGTTATAATTAAGGGAACTATACTTATAATTACTTATAACCCCAATTAAAAGTACTTATAACCATACTTACTAAGTCCCACGATCCTCCAAGTAACACACCGAAAGACCTTGGGTACAGTCCCCAGCCGAAAACACTCTATAATAGGGCTACTACTCAGCGCCTTCTATATCCACATCATAATACTTAATAAATAAATAAATAAACAAACAAATAAATAAATAAATAAATAAATAAATAAACATATGTATATATATACATATGTATATATGCAATGTGCATTCAACAAAAAGCGACCCTCAAACACGGTTTGTTGTTTGGGGCCGTTTTGAGGACTTAAACGCTAAATGTCACTAAACCCCGAATCCTCCACATGAGGGGCTTTGGAGGGGGGCATCTGCATTACGAAAGCAACGGCTATAGCAGCAGACATTCTTAACTCTTCGGACTGGAGGCTGAAGACCTGCAACCACTAAATGGGAGTTTCCGAGAATTAGGGGGGTACCTTACTCTGTGGTACTTATAGTAAGGATCCTACTATTTGGGGTACTAGATTAGGATCCCCTATTTTGGGAACCTCCCAAATATGTCGGGGTACAAATGTTCTGAAGGGCGCGACAAGTACATAGCTCTACCTCATGCACGTAGACCCCGACTCGCAACTACACATGAACCCGAGGGAACTGTATAACCTATGTAAATCTCAAACCATGGAGATCACTATACGGGCCTTAATAATTTGAATAGGGTTTTGGGGTATGTTGCACTATACTCACTATACTTCTAATCAGGAGCCCCCAAACATCCCTTATCATAGCCCTCGTAGATCCCTTTGAAGGAACCCGTAAAGGTATACTAACACCCCTATACTAGCCTACTTGTCGGGTATCATGGGGAACTAAAGGTTAACCTTCTGGT